GGGGGGGGGGGGGGGCATATATTCATATATTCATGTTCTGCATCATTAATTTCCTTTGAAAGCGATTGTTTTTACAGTCTGTGAACACGAATATATGAATATCAGCCCCTCCCCCCCAATTAGCGACTTTCCGGCGTCCCTGAGCAAGAATTCCGGCATGGGCATATGTTCAGTTATAACTATATGTTGTGTATTTTAAGGTGGCTCCAGAATGTTTTCACTATACTACACTTACAAAGGGATTCACGAGATTTCTGTTTCTTCACTTCACATGCCATGAAATGTACGAAGACGAAAATTATTGGACAAATTCGCACTGTTCCTGCTACTACAACAAGTTGCTTCTTTTGTTTATTATCCGTTATTGTGACGGCAGCGTGCTTAGATAAATCTCAAAAATTGTTCCTTTTACGGCTATTTTAAAAATCACATTCGTTAAAAGTTTACAACAAAAGCAATACTGATTTAAAATAACAGTTTTTCCTCAATTTTAAATATTCTATCGAAAAGGACACTGCACTTGTTTTGCCGATTTATTAGCAGCCAGTCAAATAACTTACATGCACTTCAATAGGGATATATTCCTGAATATATTGTGAAATATATTGTTTTTTTTAAGATGGCTCCCTATAGGGTTTTCCACTATACTACAACGTTCAAATTTCATTTCTAAGGCATTCTCGTCCCCCGAGCCATTTTCACTCTAGGGTCTGGGTTAGACGACTAAAGGGAGAGATCTGATTGGCTTCTCAGAGAACTGCTATTTTGCAGAAGTTGGGCAATTTTCGCTGGTCAAAATTATGCTACCAACATATGTCAACACAAATACTTCGTTTAACTTGTTAATACTAATTCACTGTTAAAATTGTTGCGGGTGCTAAAACGTCCAATTCAGGACCATGCGCTTTAGAAACTACTGTAAGTGTTCTTGCACTTCCGGTTCCGTATTTCCCAGGGCTTAGGGAGGTCACGCGAGGCCGAAAGACCCTGGGGACGACGATTGTTTTAAGGAGGTAGTTTTCGCTAACCGATAGTTTCAAGGCAGTTCGACTCTGCTCATTTGAGTCGTAAAGATCTCGTTATTTGAGTCGTCTTTTTCCCCTCAGAAATGCTACTATATTGTGCAGAAAACACTGCAAATAGGTGAGTAAACTTTATCCCATATCCCGAATTTCGTGATGTGAACTTTGCATACGGTGATAAAAACGTCAAGAATACCATTTGGAAAAAAAACAGATTTAAATCATCTTTTCCTGAAACGTCACGCCAAGGTATCGCTTTGGATTTTAGAACTTTTTTATGCTTTTCACTAACTAAAGCAAAGTTCACACATTTGTTTTAAAGCCACAGTTCAGCCTTTTGAACGATGATTATTAGGGCGCATTTCAGCCCTTTTAATTGCAAAAACTAACTAGGAAAATGAATTAAGCATAATTCAAGACCAGCAAACATAATGTTTTTAACATTTTAAAACATTTTTATTGTTAAAAACATTGAGTTTGCTGATGCTTAATTGATTTTCCTAGTTAGTTTTTTCAACTAAAAGGGCCGAAATGCCCCTTAAAAACCATCCTTCTATAGGCTGCACTGTGCCTTTAAAAAAAGAGTTTCATAAGCACCACGTTTGTTTGTCGCGAGTTACACGCGACATTTACCTACATACGAAGAACGTAACCCCGGCACATGAAATGGTAAGGAGCCTCCTTAACAGAGAAATTAATAATGATAATAATTGATTTAAAATTGTTTAAAATAGGTTTTACTCACTGCAAGGACCGTCGTGAACTTTCGTGATATCTTCTTCACTCAAACAGTTAGCATTTTCCAAAATACATTCATTGGCATAGGTTTTTCCATTTGATCCACACACTGGATCTTTTATGCAAGGACAAGGTTTTAGGCAGTTTGGTTCTTTGATGTGAAGCAATGACAGAGAAGAAATTGATTAATTAGTTAAAAAGATTAAAATAAATTATTTTCAGTCTCAATTACGGTGGGGTGTACGCAACCAAAGTATAAGTTTTCGCAACTATTTAAGATTTAAATTATTGGAAATAACGAATATGTGCGCCATGAGATTTATTCCATATCCGACAACACTTGCACGACAATAATTACTGAATAGAGTACACAAAAATTATAGTTATAAATAAATAAACCACCATGCATGTAGATATGTACTTGAACTGGTAATAGTGTTGTTGTTTTAATGTTATTTATTGTACAACCCAAACAACTCATGTTCAAAGTGTCAATGTGTATTTATATAAACTTACTTTTGCATTGGCAGGTGGGACAGCCATTTACGGGGCCAATATATCCAAAAGGACAAGGAGTTACACACTCGATCTGTGGACATACGACATCTATATTAAAAGTGCATGTATAGAGCAATATTAGAACAGCAGTTTGTGCTGCAAAAACTTGCAATTTTAAACACGAGGGCGCCGATATGAATACACACTGTATGTATACATACGTATACATACATACATACATACATACAACCTTTGTTTAACCACGGGAAAAGGGGTTGAAATATAGAATTATAGCTATTTACAAAAAAATATATATATGAAATGAGACTAGATTGCAGGAAAAGAACAAGAAAATACGATGATTTTTAATGCACGATCACACACGAGCAAGTTTCAACTCTTCACTGTTCTAATATTGATCGGAAAGATCTTAAGGTTTCAGCGATTTTTTGACTCATGGAGAAGATTATTTCAGTGCAAGCCACCGCAATAACTGAAGCACCGCTTGCAGATTCTCTTTTCGGCATAGGTGGTGCTAAATCTTACAGTATCCCTATTTCTGAGATTGTGTGTATTAAGTCTTTCATTAATAGATTGAAATGCTTCTTTAAGATTGGGTGCGGTGAGGCCATTTAAAATTTTATGAATGAAAATAGACTGATGCATGGTTGTTTCGTCTTCGAGAGGTTTCCAATTTAGATTCTCAAGTAAATCAGTTGACCGAATATCGTAAGTGGCCGGCCCAGTAGCTAATTATTCTTATAGCACAATTTTGGTATATTTGCAACCTATCTTTGAGGCCAATACGGCAATTATCCTATAACTGGCTGCAATAATTTAAATGCACAATAACATTATAATATAGCATTTTGGTTGTTGACAGTGGTACAAATCAACCTAGAGGTGCATAATTATGAGGATCCTTGTCAAAATTTTTCGACACGTCTCACTTTACAAGCGCGACCAGAAGATATGGTCTGGTTACGAAACGCCGTTTTGCGCTATAGTTCTGTAATTGGATTGTACATTAGTTGTCCCACCAGTTGCGAGATGATGCGAAATTCATTTCATTTCAGACTTCAAAAGAAAGGGCAAAGACATTTATGCCATGTCGGATAACAGTTCGTTAACTGCAAACAATTGCAAAACTTTTTATCTATACGCGGAGGCAACATAAATTGCGAGCATATCCGCAAAGATTCTTGGATATAGCTCTAACTAATAGTGCATGTTTCAGTCGGGCAAATCTTGATTAATATTTGATACGCCGTTTCTTGCATATTTCAGACACATCCAGAAATATGCTCCCGAATTTAAAGGTCAGTATCTCCGTGAATTTTTAAGTGAAATACAACTGTAATATATCAAAATCTAATTAGTTAGTCCTTCCTCTATTTGATGCAAGTTATTTCTCTTTAAAAGCTTTACTTGTTTAGAAGTTATTACGAATCAAACAGGAGTACCTTTTTGGGGGACACCCGGTACATAAACCACAGGAATTTTTCTTGCAACTTGCGACGCATGCAATTTCCCACATAGTTATTGCAGGAAAGTTCTGCATTTGCATCACCCACGGTTAAATCTGTATATTTGAAATTCTATTGCAGCAAAGAGTAATTGCCTTGCGTAATATCGCTTTATCCTACCGTATAATATTGAAAAATCAGTAGCCATTTCATAGTGAATTTAACTTTTATTAAAAGGACCGCATGTATACTCCTTAAAAATTAATTACATACTGTGCGAAAATTACGTTTCAATTCTCACTCCTAGGAAGTGAGAAGCTATAAGCTAATACAGGTCATGTCACTAAAAGTACTTGGACTTAACATCTCCATTGCATGTGCATGCAAACAAACAAACAATCTAACAATGGTCTTGTCCTTTTCCTGTTTTTCAGTTTTTCACCGGCCTGAAATTTAAGTAAATAATTATATTAATTTAGTTTGTTTAAGCGAGCTAGTTCGTTCCAAGAAAAAAATCATCTGTTATTTCGCATCTGTGGAATTTGAGCGAAAATGCGAACTTCATCTGTCATCAAATTCAGAATTTTCGCATATACACAATTTTTATCATGTAAAATAGTAGATGTTTCATATTCGGGGGCGCAAGAATGAGGTAGGAATATCGATATTTATAGCAGGAATTGAATATCGATAGCTACTGGAAATATCGATACAGTCTGAAAAAAAATTGTATACACTTATTGGACGAGGTTGAGCAAAATATTACGATTTGTCATGCATTGGCGAGCAGATTATTTCCGGATGCCGAGGGCAAGAGGCAAATAATCGATCTGCGAGCCACTGACAAATCGCGTTATTTTGCGATAACCGGGTTCAATAATTGTTTTATCATTTACTTATTCATTCTCGAAATTTTGTGGCTGTCACGAATTGAAGTTCAACAAATCTGTACAATCGCAATATCTGAACATTTAACAAGCTATATGTTTACTGTCGTGTTTATTTTAATTGCTTTTCAAAAATCTTAAATGCACATGCGTAAATCGATATTTTGCAATTAAAAATTCATTTCAAAAGTGCGCACGCTCAGACCATTATTTGCACCAGTTATTTGAAGCTGACTTATTATTCTCTCCAGCTAGTTAATTTTAGGGAAATTAGCCAATCAATGTTGAGAAAACGAATAAGTAAATGATGTTAAATTAAAGAATATTATAGCCACCTATCTGAACTTAAAGAAATTAATTTCTTAGTTTATTTTTATATGGAATATATTGTCCGTATAATTAGATTTCAGTGGGCTTATCGAAATTTTGAAGTATTCAGTGAAAATTATTTTTGAACTTTATCGTGATATATATTTTACGTATATATATTTAACGCAAATTGTATGCAAAATCATACGCTCATTCATCAAAGACAAAGTGTATGTCCAAATTCCATGGGGCTGTTGAAAAGCTTCTAGCATTCAATTAGAATTATTTTACTTACGGCATGGACCAGGGTGAACTACCGTGATATCTTCTTCACTCTCACAATCAGCCGCATTCAAGAAACAGATGTTACCATAGGTCTTTCCATCTGATCCACATACTGGAGCATATTGTAGAGTGCAAAATATTTTTCGACACTTCAGTTCTTTTAGTGAGGTAATAAAAGAAAGGAAATTATTTTTGATAGAGAAATAGTTTCAAAACGTCATATATCAATTTTCAATCTTAGTTAATTATAAACACGATTGTATTCAAACAATCTCCAGAGAGTCAAATTCAGGCAGAATTTCGCATTGTTGGTTAATATTTTAATTTCAAATAAGGAAAATTGTGTGCCAAATTTGTTCAATAAACATGCATGGCGACTTCTTTTGCAGCAACATCAAGAATTACTGACTAGAATATAACTAAAATTGTATAACTATTGTCAGTCATGGAGAAATAAACAACGTATATCTATACAAAAATCGGTTTTATGTTATTAAATAAATTTATTATATAACTATATAATAATATATTCAATATATCAAAGTATATTGACATAAACTTACTTTTGCATTGGCAAGTTGGACAGCCATTTTTGTCACGAACATATCCAAAAGGACACTGAGGCTTTACACACCCGATAAGTGGACATGAGACTCCTATTAAAAATATATAAAGCAATATTAGAACAACAGTTTGCGCTGCATAAACATGCAATTGTACAAACGAAGGAATCATCTAGAGGTCAATGAGGACCCTTGTCAAAATTACCGGGCAACACCCCTACGCGAGCCTTGGTATATAACCCATCGAGCAGAAGATAAGATATTGTTACGAAACGACGTTTTGCGCTATAGTTCTGCCATTGGGTTGTACTTACCATCCCGACTAGTTGTGAGAAGCTAAGAAATTAATTTCATCATAAGCCATCCAAACAAAGGACAAAGAGATGCATGTCGGATAACAGTTCGTGCATGTCAGATAACAGTTCGTTTATCTACGAAGAAGCGGCCACATAATTTCCATGCACATCGGCAAGGATTCCTTAATAGTTATAGCTGTTGGTGTATTTTAAGAAATAAATTAACACTATTCTTTAAATTCATTATTCCTCTGTAAAATTAAAACTTGTATTCTCCGCAAGGACCATCGTGAACGTTCGCGCTATTTTTTTTTTTAAATCAAACAATCAACGTTTTCCAACACACATTGATTGGCATAGGTTTTTCCATTTGATCCACGAACTGGGTATTTTATGCACGTGCAGGGTTTTATGTAGTTTGGTTCTTCTATATCGTCATATGGGGGGGCAGAAAAGAAACCGTTTTTTTTTATTTAACAAAATTAAAATAAATATTTTTGAATGTTAATTAAGGTGGTCACACAACTTGCAGGTACGTCAGCAAGGACAGGGACGCCGGAAAGTCGATAATTGGGGGGGGGGAGGGGGCATATATTCATATATTCATGTTCTGCATCATTAATTTCCTTTGAAAGCGATTGTTTTTACAGTCTGTGAACACGAATATATGAATATCAGCCCCTCCCCCCCAATTAGCGACTTTCCGGCGTCCCTGAGCAAGAATTCCGGCATGGGCATATGTTCAGTTATAACTATATGTTGTGTATTTTAAGGTGGCTCCAGAATGTTTTCACTATACTACACTTACAAAGGGATTCACGAGATTTCTGTTTCTTCACTTCACATGACATGACATGCACGAAGACGAAAATTATTGGACAAATTTGCACTGTTCCTGCTACTACAACAAGTTGCTTCTTTTGTTTATTATCCGTTATTGTGACGGCAGCGTGCTTAGATAAATCTCAAAAATTGTTCCTTTTA